GCATAGAGCCTTTACTACATGAAAATGAAAATTAATGAATACACTGTGTACAGTAATTTACCTGATAAGACAGACCTCAGAAAAATACTTTATGAGAGCTTTTATACTTTTATAAAGCTGTCTATAATGAAAATTAATTAACTAAGGATTTTTTTGCCCTGCCAGGGTGTGGCCGAGTTATCCGGAGTGCCGGGTTATCGAGAGCCGAGTTTTCGAGGTTCTACTGTAATAAAAAATGAAACAAAATATAATTACTACAAATGTGTTAATATGTAATGAGAAGCCAGAAATGAAAATGTAATACTGCTTCTTTGATCGAAGGGCTATCTATAAACTGGCATTTTTTAGTTTTTCCTGTATGATGTATTTCCATGCTGATGGTAATCTTTCAGCATCCCTAGCATTTGGACACCTGTCCATTAACTTCCTTCTATATATTTCTAACTGTTCTGTACTTGTCTCTAACAATGGTGAATGCACTGGTTGTATGATGTTGGCCTCCTCCCACTTTACAATTGAGCCTTCCACTTGGGCCATGTGGACAACACAGTGTAAGATTGTCTTTTTTTTATGTTGTATTTATGCTTTTTGAGGCATATTAAATACACTTTAATGAAGCATTTGTAATACAATTTAATAATCAATACAGGATGACTTTTAGGGTTTAAAATAAAAGTGCATTAATGAAAAGTAAAGAAAATCATATGATAATAACGTCAGATTATATTAGTTACATAATATTTAACTATATAATTAACTGTGAATATTTATACTGTTAACAACTTTTGATTTTTTATTCTTAATTATCAATACATTCTCTTCAATGAGGAATCTAAAATTTTAGTTATTTAACTAATATTTTATTGTCATTCAAATATTAGATATGGGCACCTCCAACACCACCACAAGAAGAAAATGACTTGTATATTGATTACAGTATGGGATTTCTTTATGAACACACAATAATGCCTGAATCACAGCTTCCTCCAATATATGTAAAAAAAGAAACAAAACGTCTGAAGGTTGATAATACAGTAA